CCCAACCTGCCGCCTGCTTTGGGCTACAGGACGCTGAGTCGAGGATATACTGTCAGGGCACTTCAGCCTCCCCAGAGCTGTGCAGTGCTGACATTTCAATTGGATTTATTTCATTGTTTAATCAATGAACAAATAAGCAATAATAAACTTAAATAGATAATAAAAAAAAACAAAACCCCCAGTATTTAGATACAGAAAATACAAGTATTTTCTTGAGATTTTTTGAGTGAAATAGTTATTGGTCTTCATAGAATAGTTTTCTGGTGAATATCTGTTCTGAGAAAGAATTATTGGAGACACTCTGAGTGTTCTGGTTCTAGAGTTTCAAAGCTACCTAGAACGTAGAGCAAAAGGGACGCACTCTAAAGCTGAAAGTCTTACAAAAAGCTTACAGTATTTTGGACATGTTATACAATATGTGCAATTAAAACAACAAAAGTGAAAAAAGCTGGAAAATACCCTTTCAACAGGGAAAATTCACAGAGAAGGCCGAGCCTTTTCACAATAAGCCATACTTGCTGTTGGAAAAATCTGCACTTCAGCTTCTGTAGTATCAAGAAGCTCACGCTGGAGTTACATGTCTGGGCACCATAACGATTAGTATTAAAACCATACTAAACATTCTCTTCTCTGAGAGCATTTCGGAAGGCCTAGTAAGGCAACAATACATGGAGGATATACTTGCACATACATTAGGAAACAGGGAACTGGATTGTTCCACACGGTGACGACACTGTGACACACTTTCAAGATGCATGCAAAACCTGGAAAGACAATGGGAACTAACTTCGGGAGCAACGATTCCACCCACGCATCTTCCATAATCCAGGGTCAATGCGATCAACTTATGGGGAAATGCAGAATCATTCTAAAAAAAACCCTATGTAAAAATGAGCAACCAAATCCACACCACATATCACACGACACGTTTGCTGATATAGGCAAATATAGCGTGAGTTATAACAAGCTGATTCATCCATCTCAACTGAAAGTAAACAAACGGAACAAAAATATACTTGGACTTCTGACCTAGATTACGGTTGGTATGCCAACAACATTTACAATGACAGGCTGCTCTTGACTTACGTAAAACCGACTTCCGTAAATCCGGACTTACACAAAAAATACCCAAGATATATAGTTTATGGTAACGTGAAAAGGCAACGTATCTGTAAGTAAATTTACAGCGAAAATACAGTATTTAAAACCTTACCTTTTCATCTATTTAATATCCGTTTCAATAACCATGGTATCAGTTATCTGTGGTTTACTGTGGCCCAAATAAGTCTCGGGTCATAAGTCTTGGCTAAGATACTTTTAAACAAATACATTTTTCTCATTACAGATTATGTACAGGCACATGATACAATCAGTTTCATGGTAAAATGTACAACAGTAGCCTATGTTTTTTCGTTGTTCCTTTGTCCTTTTTCATCGTTGTCATCCCTTGATACATTACATTTTTTCATTGTTATATCATCTCAGAATACAGTACTGCATAATACTGTACAATGTACTTTATTATTACTGTATTTAAGGTTGGTAGTCCTACTGTACATAATTTATCAATTAAACATATGCCTGTACCTGTAAATGACATTATATATGGGGTCCGCAGATAGTTCGCGGCTTCGGCCATCCGCAGTATGGATACGGAGGGGGCTACTGTATATTTTTGGCTCGTGTTTTTTGCTATAAGGTGTCTTAAATGGTAAATGCGACTTACGTAAGGATTTGTGGAACAGATTACTGCCTGCATTTATTTATCAATCACTTTGTATAAAACATCACACAAATGGGGAAAAGCTTGGAAAGCAAGATCACGTATCGTCCTCGGGGAGCAGCTGAGGTTAAGGGCGATATGATGACTCTGTGGCCGCAGGATCAGAATGCATGACCTTCTTATCATCCGAACCCACTGAGCTACACACCACCTGAGTCTGTCATCACCACTCTCAATTTTCCAAGCCGGCACAGTGTCGCCCTCCCCTCTTACACAGCAGGGGGCGACGTGGTACGCACAGCTTGCACCGTGACGTGTGCAATTGCAGGTCCTTTCAGAGGCCTGCACTGCAGACCACCTTCCCTAAATCCCTCCCCCTTTACAGCAAGGACCAAGAATGCAGAAGTTGGGGGCTTGGGGCGGGGATCTTGGACATAGATGACGAAGATGATCACAGCAGTGTGTGTCTGTGACTCACCTTAATTCATTCAACCTTTGAGCAGAAACCCTCCAACGTTTCAGTAGCCATGTACTATATAAGGTGACAGGGAACCAAAATGCAGCACGTTTCAGCCGAGCTTCAGGAACCTGTCCCAGCTTCCCCTTTCTCGTAACGGCCGAATGGTAATGACAGCACTGAGGAAATGCTTTCTCCTTCTGAGGGAAGTTGAGCGCAAACAAACAAGTTCCTCCAAGGTCAGCGTGGGACTCAGCCCTTATCTGACAGCTCGACGAATGTGACTTGCACTGGGCCACCATCCTCTGAATGACCACGGCACAGCAACACCATTGGCAACTCTGGGCCAGAGCAGCCCACTGCTCCTCCCTCATTTCACATTCCTCAAAGCTGCCATTTCCCAACCCATTCCTCGAGGATCCCCAGACAGTCTGCATTTTTGCAGGAACTGGGAGAGGGAGCAAAAATGTGGACTGTCTGGCAGGGAGCTGAGAGGGAGCAAAAATGTGCACTGTCTGGCAGGGAGCTGAGAGGGAGCAAAAATGTGCACTGTCTAGGGGTCCCAGAGGACCGGGTTGGGAAACACTGCTCTAACCCCGTGGTAATCCTGGCTAATGACGTGGAACACCATAGAATCTCACTGGATGACAGAGCTTATGCCTGCCCCTCCCCTCTCCCCACCCCAAAAATTTCCCAATTGATTTCAGTTACAGCGTAACATGACACATATGCTTCTGTATGAGCAATTTTGCTGGCTGCCCGATGCACTCCTGCCTTATAACTTTGTGGGAGCCTTGACGGTGAGGCGTCTTTGAAAAACAGTCACGTCTTACCACGTTACAAAGAAAAGTGGGAGCAGAAAAAAAAAATTGCAATTTCAGATGAAGCAGCATAGGAAGTCAGCTAAAGAAGAAGAGAAGAGGAAGTGAAGGGCAGAGTCATTAGCCAACAGTGTGTGCCAACATATCTGTCAAATAAACACTGATATTCAGAGAAGGATCCTAAACAAACTTTCTTAAAACACTGCTCTTAATACATTTTGCCGTGAAGCTGTGAAACAATTGAAGTCTTTCCTTGAGGACCTGCTCTTTTTGGCGAGAAGACTTTTAATCAGCTCTGCTGTTTAAAGAACTGTCACACGTTACCTACTCAGATGTCGCGAGTCAGCAAAAATTGGCTGGGAGTTAAACTGCTGATATTTGCTTTTAAAATGCCTCCTTAACCCTTATTAACGTGGTACAGACATCAGCGGAGGGGTGAGAGGGGGCCTGGTTTCAGATGTGGTGGGAATCATTTTGTAACATGACGAATTTTTTAGTTTTTAGTTTTATTCTGTGGCTGGAGCTTTGACTTCATAAACACTTCAAAAAAATATCTGTGTCAGCAGTGTTTGTGTGTGAGTATGTGTGTGTTCCTGTGAATTCCCTCTGGTTTCTTACCACAGTCCAAATACATGTGGTTTATGGTTTATGAATTATAAACAAACTATATTGTGTGTTTGTGTGTGGGCCCCGCCAGTGTTTACCGCCACGTCCTTCCTGCGGAGAGTTTAGCTGTCGCCACGGCGATAAATAAGGCACTAGGCGGGAACGTGGCACTGACCCGGCAATCCCGCTGCAGCGTCTTCATCAAGGCGTTGTAGGTCTCGGTGTCGAAGTACAATCCGTCATGCATGTCCTGGAAGTCCAGGTCCTTGTAGGTGGGACAGGCTTTCTCCCGCTCCTTGCGGTTCGCCCGCCGCTTGTACGTCGAGCCCTTCAGGTCGTACTTGTAGTGCATCTTCACAGAGCGCGGCAGCACGTTGTTCATCACCACCAGCCGGATGTTCATGCCTCCTGACTGGACGCAGTAGAGCCCGTAGAACTTGGGCAGCAGTGTTCTGGGGTTCTGGTTCAGGTTCTGAGAGGAGCAGAGAGCAAACCCGGGAACAGGAACATCAGAGGAACATCCTGACTGCAGATGTGGACATATATTTTCTATTATAGATTATACATAATGTACATTATGATTCTACACCATAATGTGTCTAAGTGATCTTCATGTTGGTGTAATATTGTGATATTGTGTCTCATTCCCTAAAGTCACCCCAGTATTTGGAGTAGCCATCGAATATACCAACTGTATTTGTTTACAAACATACCTTGTTTGACTAACAATTTAATTTGAATTAAATTCATTAACTAAGTTAGCTGGTAGTGAAATTTAATAAACACATGGAATGGCTGGGGTGCCCCTGAGGAGAGGTTAGGGTATCCTTTGGGCATCCTTTGGGCATCCTTTGGGCATTCATTAGCCATTGTTCTAGCCATCTAAGACATCAGTAACTTTTTGAAGAACACATGAAATACTTGTTACTTTTTATTGTTTCTTTTCATTTGCAAATATTCTGATGTTAAATATACACGTATCATTAAAAAATGTAGCTTTTTAACTTTTTCTTTGACTGGCCAAGACTCTTTTATAATACTCTACACACACACACACACACACAGACACATACATGTAGGGTAAACATATCCTTACGGGGACCGCTCATTCATTTCAATGGGAAAAATGCTAACGCTAACTACGACAACCTTAACCCCTACCCTGCCCTAACCATAACCATAAGTAACCTAACAAAATACAAGAGTTTTTGCATTTTTAGTTTTTTCATAGCAGTCACCGATTTTTATAAAATAGAGTTTTAAAAAAATGGATATTTATCACATTATGGGAACATTATGTCCCCATAAGGATAAGCAAACCCGCTCACACACACACACACACACACACACACACAGACGTGAGAGTAGTGACATTAGAGGAACACTCAGAAAGCCACCTTCACTCCCAAGGTCGTGATGACCTGCGCCTATTCCGGCAGGAAAAGCCCGCAGCTCTGACAATGGCCATCACACCTGACTCCAGGGCAGGTGCACCAGGAGAGAGGCCGGTTCTCACCAGGCCCGGCCCGACCTCAGCCGCTCACCATGTAGTAACCCGGAAGCAGTTTCTGCAGGAACTCGGCCTCCTTGTGCTGCACGGTCTTGACGATGAACTCGTCGTCGCTCGTGAGGTAAAAGAGGGAGCCGCTAGCTCCAGGGTTGGACAGCTCGATGAGGGGCTCTTTGCAGATGGAGTACTGTGGGGGGGGGGGGGCACAGGGCAAACAGGGGGGAGGGGTTTTACAGAGCTGATGCCGAACAAATCCAAATTTTCCCTCCGTGTCATGCTTACGCACGCAGATGCACACGCAAACCCTGCAGGCCGATCCCGCCCCTGGGAATACGAGCTGTAGCTACTGAGTGCTCAGACAGGGTGGAAGCGACAGGCCATGATGGATTTCAGGGGCTGGAGGCACAGAACCCATTTTTAAATAAATATATCATGAACTGGTATCCCACCCATTGTGCACCCCCATGCCCTATGGTGCTGGGAGAGCCCCCCCCCCCCCCGACACTGACCAGGATAAATGATTGAAAGATGGATATTTGGATAAGGGGTGGGTATATTTGGGACCTGGAGGCAAATACAGTATTTATCAAGGCTGTGTGACACAGACACCCCTGATGGTAAAAAAGGCACCTGGCAGCAAAAAAAAAAACACAGCAGGGACTGTTCAAGTTGGAAATAAAAAAGCAGGATAAGAATCACCAGGAAGCAGGAAAATCGTCCCTCTTATTACAGCCCATTACATGCATTTGCATACAGCTCCAGAGGACCGTGTGCATCTACAGGGAAGGAGTGTGGCCCTTCAAAGAGCTCAGAGGAAACGATTCCCTCTGGCTGAATAATGCATGACTGTTGATTACGTAGAAAGGCAGGTTATCTGTCACTGGGCTGCAGGGTGACATCACTGCCGCAGAACACTAATTCAGGCCTTTAGCAGACACATGTAAAACTGCAGGGATGAGCGGGCGGGGGGGATTGAAGATCACGTGACGGGACAATGCTAAATAACTTTCCTTCACGCCAACGTTTAGACTGAAATGTGAAAAATGTATGAGGATGACGTGTAAGAGTGAGCAAACGCTGTCTGTCCTTTTTAAAAGCAGGCGGGTCGGAGAGTTCCGAGGGCGTCGGATCCCTGCAAATCCCTCGATCGCGTCGTGACGAACGCCACAGCTCCCCCAGGTAATTAACCCCGATTCGCTTCTGCCACGTGAGGCACATGATTAAAGCGGCCGATACGAAGGCGCCCTAAATTACCCCCCCCCCCGCCCCCCAGATAAATCCAGCACACGGGACTGGAAGCACGCCAGCACGCCGCTTTCCAGTGCTCGTCCCCCTTTCTCTCTCTCTCTCTCTCTCTCTCTCTCTCCCCCCGCCCTCCAGAGTGGCAGGGTCTGCGTAGGCAGCAGAGATGGAAGCTACAGAGAACAAAGGAAGTTTCTCTCTGTTCTGCTATCAGCTCCTCAGCATCTCTGGATTCCTGTCTTGCGGAATTCTGTAACTGGGGCATGTTCCAGGGCCCAGGGATTACCTCCCCCCCCCCCCACCGTGACACCGTGTCCCACTACGGGAAATTCCCGTAATACTCCCTCACTAGAAGGAGGATGCATAGGTTGCATTTAAAGCTTAAAATTTCCAGTGATAGTTTTAAAGGCTTTTTGAAATTCCGCTGGAGTGGAATTCTGAGTCTGAGGTAAAAACTGAGATGTTTGTGGTGTCTGGGTAATCGAGTGAGCGTACAGGAGACAGAAAGCAGAGCATCAGGGTCTGAGGGGAGGAGGGCAGGGTGGGTGAGGTTAAGGAACATGTGGGTGTAGCTTGAAGGGGGTGTGGCTTATTGTGCACCACGTGTGGGAGTGGCTGTGATGCATGGCCATGGCTTGGTGGGTGTGGCTGATGCACATGTGGGTGTGGCTTAAAGGAGGTGTGTCTTAGTGTGCACCACATGTGGGTGTGGCTTGACGGGGGTGTGGCTTAGTGTGCACCACGTGTGTGAATGGCTGTCATGCATGGCCATGGCTTGGTGTCACATGTGGAAGTGGCTTGGCGGGTGTGTCTGTCACATCCCAGAACTTACCAGGTAGTCGTCCGGCTTGATCCCAAAAAGCTCCCGGAAGTAGCGGAAGGCCAGAGGGGCGTACGTCTTAAAGCGGAAGTCCGGGTAGTGATGCGCAGGGGTCAGGTTGCTGCCCTCACTGAGTGAGTCCGCGTGGCAGAGGCAGGAAAACAAAGCAAGACGGGCGTCAATATAACATAAAATCAAGCCACCCCCCACAAATACATATTCCCACCATAATAAGTACTAATGATACAGAGTGTAAATGTTGGCTAATGATATACTAATTAGGAAGTCAGCAAACAAACCACATGGAGTGTAATTAAATGAAGACAACGAGCAAATAACGGAATGTGTTGCAGACAATTAAGCAGCGCCTGAGGGACTGAGTTCGTTTATCAGTTTCCCTGCTTCCACTCCACCTACAGAAGCTTTTACACTTTTAAATGGAAGCGCAGACGAGGGTGACGTCCAAGAGCCGCGCTTGCAGACCTCTCCGCTGATCCGTCTCTGGGTGGCCAGATCACTGAGGGCACCAGGCCTAATTAATATGGCTGCTGAGATGCTTTTAATCTGTGCCGTGCTCTTAAAAGGCTCGCTTGGATTCTGACCTCCTTTGGGTCCAGCAGTCCATATGATAAAAACCCGGAATCTTCTCTCAGTTTAAAGAATACTACCAATAAACTCACAAATCGCTGGAACTCGCTCCGTGACCATCGCTTGTTTACCATTCTGTATTTCCGAATGAACCTTTGATTTGAATAATTCATGCAAAAGTGTTTTTTACATCGCAGACACCTTTGCATTTCTTTTGCTCTTCCATGGTTTGTGTTCAAACGTTTAATATGATATACATTTAATAAAGAACATTTAAAGGACTTTTAATGTATTTATGATTTCGTACTATTGCACTCATGCTTAAATATACAGCCTTTCCACAAGTTTTGATGGCGTTACTCTCCGATAAACCTATGAAAAAAATGCATTTTAAGACAGTACACCTAACCTAACAAACATCATAGCCCAGCCTAGTCTACCTTAAACATGCTAAGAACACTTACATTAGCCTACAGTCGGGCAAAATCATTAACACAAAACCCAATTTATTAAAAAAAAGTGTAGAATATCTCATGAAATTTACTAAATAATGTACTAAAAGTGAAAAACATTGAATCATTGTAAAGTCGAAATATCATAACATGGGCAATCGTAACCCAGCGTCTAATTGCACTATATGCCATTTTCAGGCATCCCGTGTTCGTTACAGTGATTTCGGGCTGCGGTGATGGTAAAGGTCGTCCCCAGTGGTGGACAGATTTCTGAGACACTGCGTGGCATCTACGAGCGTCAGGGAGTTGCCGTCCATGTGGGGGAGACTCCGGGGCCTTCCGGGAGAGCTGGGATGTCTGCATTTCGTATTCATTTACTGCGATCACATGTCCACCCGCGCTTTTCGCGTCAGCGGTGAAAGTGTTTTTGAAATGTCGTGCCGTCAGTGTCCTGTGTCATTGCAGTGCGTTGGTCTCAACCCAACCTGGCTGTTTGGCAATATAAGAATCATAAATCTCCAATCTTAATGGAGCCAACGCTTTCCTCTGGATGGTCCCCAGAGTCACACGCTGCGTTTTCACAGCAGATTAGCCGAAGCCTCGCAGGTACATTTTTGCACTCCGGTGCCAGAGAGCAGGCGCTGGTCTAAGCGGCTTTTCTGGGCCTCGTCTGGGTGAAGCGTCAGCGGCTGATGATGGGCTCCAGGTCATTTATAAACGCCCTAATTAGGCCGTTCAAAGCTCCTTCGGCTCATTTTCATTCCTGTAATTTTACCGATTACATCGTATTTGCAGCCGGCTGAGAAGGTTTTCAAGCAAAGGACGTTTATATGGATTTGTGCAAGACAGAGCTGTTTAATACCCTACTTTTTATAAATTTTGAAATGCACCTGCGTTAATACATGCACTGAAGTGTCACGCTGAATATGGAAGAATATGAAATAAATCAAACCAAATGTTTTCTTGAGTTTTGCATTAAATGTGTTCCCATAAAATTTGTAAGTGCAACTAGAAAAAAAATTAACTTACGTAATTTGCCAAAAGAATAAGAATCTTCCTTGTAAGTTTAATTTGACTGATATGTAAATGTAGATGACTGCATGCAGAGAGCTTTAATGTGGGGGGGCTTTAGTGTGTTATAATACCCCTCCAGTGTAATTAGTCTGTACTAGCTTTGCAAATTCCTCTAGATCAGAGCGCCTTCAAAATTAAAGAAGTTAGACGATAATATTATTTGTGTGGTATACGCCTCTAATGTGGCTTACATTAAAAGGGCTATTATGTTCTTTTAAGCTGTTTATAAAACTGGTTGTGGGCAAAACAACAACCTAAGCATGCTTAAAACATTTTACAGGTCTCTGTAAGCTGCTTCCAAATGTACCTCATTTAAAGGCACATCTTTCATCTGCATATGATGCGTGCATGGCTCTCAGTGGCAAATACTAAGTAGAAAGGGTTACAATTTCCATATTGTCGTTGTGCGCAATTTACAAGACAGTCTGACACGTACCTGGGAAGAAAAACGCTCTCCACCACGTAGAAGTCCTGCATGAGCACATCCCTGTCCGGCTTGGAGGTGAGGTTCCCCACCGTGTAGCCGATGCCGAGCTGGATCGCCCCTTTCAGTGCGGACGACGTGGTCTGAGCACCAAAGATAAACCCACATAAAATTTTTAAATGAGCAGCTTGCAACCTGTCTCTGCTGCATTATCCATCTGCTGAAAAAAAAAAACCTGTGTGCCCCATTCAGAGGTAGAAATTTCAGGTCCAGAAAGTAAAAATCCAGACCAGAGTACTCTGTGACCATGACTCTATACACTCAACTGTTCGGTGTCAACTAAATTGTGGTTTGGATTTTTACTTTCTGGACCTGAAATTTCTACCTCTTGCCTCATGCAATAAGCTGCAGAATGTTCATCACGTTCACTCGTTTTCATTATCTATTTCTCAGATTCAACAACGTGATTCATACATTTTTATTTGCTTAGAATTTTCAACCCCTAAAGGCTGAACAAATACACCAAATATTATTGGTCTATGAAGTGGTCACCTTAGGAAACACCATGCAACAGGATTTAATTGCTTTATTAATAATAAAAGGATCGAAACCGCAGAATCACGTTTTCAGAAACAGAGTAAGAAATGAAAACCACGATAACCCTTAGCTAAACATTGCCCTACCTACTGTAAATCCAAAACCCTGTGACTGTAATTCTCAGTTAAGAAGCTTTCATCAAATCTACTCATTTAGAAACCAAAATCACTGTGCCTCAGTACAGAGCATTGAATGGAACTGTACAAAAAAAATAAAATGCTCTTAGTAAGTTGTGCGCACGCGAAAGCAAGTTAATTTTTTTGTACAGGCCGCTTCAGGGGCTCCGTACCTCAGTGTTACTAAACATGGGGGACAAAAAGAGCAAAATCACATCAAGGTTCATTTCCCTACTCATACCTTCTTGTAGGTCTTCTCCCCACTTGTACCGCGAGACCCTCCAACTCCATTTTCTGTAGCCGTTGACATCTTTTGACAGAAAATACCTTTAGACTGAGACATTAATATTTTGTAAACTGAATATTTGAATGAAATTATTTAATGTTTTTCAGTAATCAAGTCAAATGGTTATACTGATTAGAATTTGTAGATACAGATTATGGGCCTTGCACTCAGAACACTACAATATGTTATGAAGTGTTGACTTATCTTTCAGATGACCCTACTGATGGTGCTGTGAATGGAAAGACTATCAAAGTCTTAATCAGGGACTGTACCTTGCTTAATGAAAAGCTCTGTCGGTTGCCCGGTGTTTACATAACTCATTCATGGGGTCCGGGGATCCAGAAGGAGCCTGCCGATGAACAGGAAGACGTAAGCGTTACTTCAGAAATGCACCTCCCCGATCTGGGATCCATTATAACCATTCCCATGACACATGTCCAAGAATGAGGGGACTGAGGCCACAGCAGCAAGATACCAAGACAGTGAATCAAACTCCTGATGCCAAACTGCAGAAGAGCAAATCGCCTCTGTATTAAAATGCCAGAGGGAGTAAAAGAAAGATTGATTAATGGATTAGTCCATTAATCTCTTGGGGTTTTACTGAGAATATTCCTCCTCAAAGGAACAAAGTCCAATGATCCTTGAATTTCTAGGCCTCCTCCGTAACATACAAAGCAGGCAAACTGCTATTAAACGTGGATAAAGAATCTCAACACAATCATGGCAACCGCTGTTATCCGCGACTGGCCCGTGTGTGCAGACAAACCGTCACACATCCTAAAAACAGGATGCACTATAGTCAGAAGTAGTGTTTTTCAGCTCACTGTTGGGATCTGTGGACGTACGAGTGTCTGATGTCTGTGAGCAGGCTGCTAAACTTGGCCATTAGTTGTCTCCTGAATGGAAAGGATTTACAGCTATGGAGCTTGCTGTTTTATGCTGGGCCATATATGGTGACTGATGTCTCAGAGAAGTCCTAAACACCATTAAAGCTTGATTAAAGGGTCAGCTGAACAAAAAAAAAGAAACAATTAATGGATACTGAAGACCTTACATGACCAGAGGTCCTGACAAAATAAACACAGCCTGAGTAGAGATCTGAGCAGTGTAAAACAGAAATGATGTCACTATAGAACACCTGGCACCTTTTTCTACACGTTAATGTTTCTCAGAATCGTGGCAATGATTTCAAGCACCCTGGTGGCAGGGAGCCCTGGAGCGGCTCGGGAGAAATGTGCGTGAACGCTGAATGTGGGGGGAGAGACCGCCGAGCTCGTAGTTTAACGAACAGGAGCGCTGCTTGTTGTTTAATTTTCTGGTTGCTATAACATGCCACAATGATAGCATCAAATTTAATTTAGAACAGGCGAATTCTTGCCTATTAGGAAAATTAGATGGCATGTATGGGTAACAGTGCAGACACTGTGTTGTATATGTATTATTTAGTCATAAACTTTTGATTCCTCCACTGGAAGGCTTCTCATTTTCACATGTTTAGGGGCCTAAGGGCAACGCTTGTACATCTCTGACGTCACCATTCCAGCTCTGCTCATGCGCAGAGGGGATGTTCTGCCCGTAATTGTGAGTGTTTTGTTGAGGTTGGCTTCTTCTCTGAATGCTATGACATTCTGTTCAGGTGAAACAATGACTACTGTATGTGTGTGTGTGTGTGTGAGTGTGTGTGTGAGGGAGTTGTGACGCCAAAAGAGCAAGCAAAAGCACCCTGAAGCTCACTGGCAGCCAGACACTGGATGTGGCTCTTCTGGCCCTCATTAGTTGCAGCAACTGAGTGAACCCTAACTGGAAAAAGACATTTTCATAAAAGAGATACAGACAGGTGACGATTTGACAAGGCTAACAGATATTCGAGTCGAATGGGGTCCAGGTGTCTCCATGCTGGATCCTCCATGCTTACTTGTTTCCCAGTCAGAGAAGCAAACTGGGCACATGCGCTGCTCTCAGCCTATTTAAGGGAACAAGATGGAAAAAAGGGGGGAGTGACCTCATTCTCATACTAACCGCTGACTGCAGAGGCAGGGATCTGTGTGAGGTTGTGGAGGGGGGGGGGGGATCAAAGGTTCTTGCAAGTTCAGCTCACCCGATAGTGAATAAGGACCGGTTACATTCCTGATCTTTGAGAGGATCTAACCTGCTAAAAAAAAAAAAAGCACAGACTTGCAGAGTGAGAGACATTCTGCTTATTGCTTATTTACAGATGAAAATCACAGTAATGCGAGTAAAGTGGTGAACTCTACATAGGTGGTGTGTTTTATCTGTCCTCTGTCACGTGTCGGAGGTTCGCAGGGCTAAGACTAGGAAGATCCCACCAAACAGCAATGGGGCTGTCATTCTAAGCAATGTTCCACCAGACAGAGAGTAATAGCACTGCTGTTCTGGAGGGTAAAGCCTGAAACACTGTAAACGCTGCTAACGCCAATGTTTCAGCACACTGACGTCGGCCAAGGAAATGACTCGCTGTGTGACTTCCTCTGCAAGGATACTGGCAGGCAACACATTCCCAGCCTCTGATGACCAATTATCTCTAATTAAGTGACGCTTCTTGATGTCGACAGCAGGATCCCCATCAGGGCGTGTGTGTTCTCTGCTTCTCGCTGCCATCTGGGTCTATTTCCCTTCTTCATTACTCTAAATGCCACCCTGGAGCTTCTCACTGTCTCACCCTGAATGAGATCTCCATTACGTTTCATTTTTCTTATCATTTGTTTCCTCTAAACAAGCAGGGATGAACTAAAAATCAACTGTATTAAGTGTGCAAACAGCAACCAACAACCCCCCAAGTAAAACCACAGAATGACTTTCCCACACATTATCCATCCATCCATCCATCCATCTGATCCAATACGCATTGATGTCAGAGCTGAATCACAAAAGCCTGGACCTGCGACTTCCCATGCTGCCCTGATCCTAAAGTAAACTTCTAGATAGAGCTGCACAGCATGGTCATGAAATATAAAACACCATTTGACTTAATACATGCCATTTCCATTTGAGTTACTGCAGCATTCGGACATAATTTAGCTTCTGGTCAAGCAAAATAAAATAAAAAATGTGGAAGTCACCATCGTCTCAGCCACCATCATCCCAAGAGACTAAGGGCCATGGATGCAGCCCCTGACTCTGGACCAAAACCACATGACTAAAACATCTACAATTTAGACTTTTGGCTTTCATATAATGAACACACGTGATCATGTGATTCAACTGCTCCCTGTCACATTTATAAGTTCTTCCTGCATGTTAGTCTCTTATTTTTCACTGGTAGAGAATGTCTGTGATGGTTCATGTCTGATGCCTCTTCTGTTCTGGAATTTCTTATGAAAAATACCTTTTACTGGAAATATGTGATGTTTATCTTCTGCAACCTCATTGGCTCCCATTTTAACTTTCATAAAAATACAAGAAAAATACTCCTAGCCACAGAAGACACTCTAAAGAGCTTGGAATGAAAGTTTTCAGGAAAGAGGGGGGCCACGACTGATCTACGTCGATAAGACACTCTAAGACCACAGCCCCCCTGCCAAAGAGGTGACTTGTTGCTATAACTTAATTCATGCCTGACCTCGCAGAAAAAGAAAACATATTTTGAAGCTTCAAGCCAGTTCAAATAAACTTGTATCATAATATTTGGACCATGCATATTAAGCTCCAGACAGCAGAATTAGTTTTCCCCAGAATGACAGATGACGCTTTTCAGAACGCAATCTGCTAAGAATCACCAACAGGTTCAGCTCTGTCTGCACGCATTTTGATATTTCCACACCCTGCGTCACATTAATCACCATTGTATACATATACAGAACCGCATTTCGCTTCTGTTTATTTTTGTAAAGTGCTCCTTCCCAACAAAGTCGCCCCAGAGCACTTTACCTTTACGTATATAAACAGGTATCGCACACTTTGCAAAGAGAAAAAAGGAGTGAGAGGAACAAAAACCCGTTTGGCTGGACTAGGAGGGAGAAAGCTCTGCAGGGTTACCAGAATGTGTAAGTGGCACTAATCATTATGTCTTTATATTAGGACAATAAATGAACTGATCCAATCATTTAAATGTGCTGATTCCTCACGCTGAAAACACAGCATTGGCCAGTGATGAATGAACAACGGGATGGTTTCCTGGTTTCAGAATCTGTTTGGAAGATTTTCCCCTTTAACCTATTTATTGTGATAATCACTGTTTTTTTTTTTTTGGAATGCAGACTTCATGAATTTTAGATAATAAAGAAGACATCATGACTCTGGGTTCTAATCATCGTGCACAGAAGAACAACCAGCGATGGAAACTCTAGCGTCTTGAAAAAAGTAATTCACCCTTCACTGTAGAATGTGAGGAAATCTAAATCACAAATGAAATCACTGCTGCGAAATCTGGATCTGCAGGGTCTGGCTTATGGCAGCCCGAACGCAAAGGGATACATCATAAAAAAGCAAAATCAGTACAGTCCAATTTTTTATGATATAGCACAGCTGAAAGAAATTAAAATCAAAACTCCCTTATAAGTTAATTAAAACTATCCCCCTCCACACCTGGACAGTGATAGGAATTCTTGCTGCATCCACAAATATAAACACAAACACGGTAGAGGGGTTGCCATAGTAACCTGGTTATGCGACTCTGAGTTGCGGCGGACGGAGCCACTGCCATCTTTCAGAGGCCCTGGAGATTGTCAGCGCTGTCTTTGTAAGGATGGGAGTTTTGGTGGTGGGCTGCAAACAGTAAGGAAAGGTGGCAGGGGTACTGGCAAAACTACAATATCATGCCCATCCTGCCACCCCCCCAGCCCGCTTGGCTATTTGCGTGATCGGTAACAAATTTCAGGGGACGAGTGGAGGGTTCAAAGCCGTTATTTTACTATGTGGCCACGTGCCTGTTTAAGCCACATGTACATGGATATCACATTAGGAATGCCACGTGGAAAGTGATAGTCACGTGGAAAGTGATAAAGGGCAAGTGAGGCAAAGGATCCTCTACCAGGTTGGGCATGGCTGCTTTATACTCACTGTTTACAGTGTAGCAGTCAATACCGGAGGTGCACAGTCCTACAACTGTCCTAGGTTTTGAGCATGTTTATGACAAAAAAAATCGTAAACAAAAATACAAGTGTAACAGTATCTTCTCAGCAATGCTATTGAAATAGTCTGCATGTTACAAAAAATGGCCACTATGTTGCGAAAGAATGATTTGAGCACGCTGATAGATTTCCTGTGGCCTGGAGCCAGGCAAAGATGCATTATTAAATACTGTAGCTGTTATACTGGCTTATATGCATTCAATTACAGCAAAATAATCCAAGCAGCAGCCGCACAGGTCTGTACTTGGACTGCATTGCT